CATTGAAACTTTCAGATATCAATTTTGTTAAACATCTTCAACAGTTTATAACTCATAAAAGTGATAAAACCAGTTAGGGAGCAAGAAAACTGTTTGCAGTGCTGATAGAGAAGCCAACCATATTCACTGAAAGTTTGATTCTAAAAATACTGACTAGTACTTACTAGTCCTAGGGATCTTACTGAAGTTACTCTTCTAGTTCATGACTGAAAGCAGTCACATAACTGAAATTTAAGCTATCCTTTTTTTCGCCATGCTGGTAGTAATTTACAGATTCCAATTACTCTACAACATGCAACTCCTGGGACTGTGACATGCATCAGCCATTAAAAATCCATCTCTCCATGATGGAGATCATCTCTATGATCTTTCCTTCAGATCTTCATTTCAATTTCAGGAAAATAAAAAATAATTCTAAATACAATTTCATTTAAACATTGTCTGTTAATTAGGAAATCTGCTGAGATAAATGTAAGGTTCTTCCCATTGTGACTTTCAGCCCACAGCTATTTCTGCATGTTACCCATTTCAACAGCAAATTGGAAGAACCTCTGGTTACTCACACTTACTACAAGCATGCCTAAATTTTATCCTAGAGCCTGGACATACAGATTCTTATCCTCAGCAGCTTCATTCAAAAGTGTGTGAACTAATGCAGATGTACCTATGTTACACAGATGGATAGTGAACAATACTTGTATTGAATTGAGCATCACTACATCTGACCCAAATATGAAACTTATCAAAACACACTTTTAAGTAAGGATAGTCCTGCATTTTTATTTCGCTGTCCTATGTTTCTTTGCAATGGGGTTGATATGTCAGATGTGTACCTTTTGCTGTAGTAGTTAAAATTTGTTTAAATTATTTGCCTGTGAAAACTCCTGGTGCCAGAGCTTTTCAGTGAAATACTGTGGATTCTAAAATTAACATAATTGGGAAAACATATATGTGCTTCCCTATATAGAGAAATATTTCTCATACACAGCTGTGTTGTTTTAGCTAATGCATGAAAAATAAACAGTATGCAATAGCATATGTCTGTGTCAGCATTTTAACATGTAGAAGTACAGTTCTGAAGCATTATTGAAAGAGAAGGAAACTGATTAGAAAAATGAGACAGGTCACAAAACTGAAAAATATGCAAATAAATTAACTTGTGATGATGTTTGAGCTATATGAGAAAGACATAGTGAGATTAACTCTCTCACATACTTCAAAAGTGATTATTTGGATATAGCCTTCTTTGGTCACTGAAGTTCTATGATTTGCATTAATCCCTAGTTTAAAGAGTACTGTGTTGAAACAATTATGTCTGTAAGCTAGAAACTCTATACTGTTCCTAACTGTTATGCAAACTTTCATTGCTGATACATAATTTTGGGTTACTATCCAGAAAATGCATTTTTCCTTCTGAGACTTGACACAGAAACAACACAAGAAGAGCAAACAGAAGCAAATAACCTGCCTAGCTTTATTGTATGCCAACTTCCTCTCCCTCCTGCATCTCAGCTAGATTTTTCCTCCTTTTCTTCTTCCTCATTTTCACTTCCCTTTCTTTTAAAGAAGGCTGTAAGTGTTCTTGGATGTGCTTTCTTTTCAGAAAGCAAAAATTCAGATGGAAATAAATGTTCCATCATTTATTCCCCAAAACCTAATTTTTATTTGGGTTTGAATCTTTCAGGCTTTCAATTAAACTCCATTTTCAGCTAGGGTTCACTTTCCACGTCATCTGCAAAGAAGTACTGTTTGCAACACAGACTTCTTTCACAGTTGGAGAAAAAAATCAACTGGTTTCAAACAGTAGCAGCTACCAGATCACAGAATTGTAGAATAAATCAGGCTGGAAGTAACTGCTGGATGTCTCTAATCCAACCACCCTCCCTTTCAAAGTGCTACCAACTATGATATCAGACCAGGTTACTCATGCCTTTATCAAGTCAGGTACTAGAAATCTCCAATGATGGAGACAGCAGAACCTCTCTGGAAAACCTATTTCAATTATGGACAGTCCTCATGGTGAAAAAGTTTTCCCTTATAACCAGTCTGAAGCGCTCTGGTTTCAAGTCTTTGTCTCTCACCATCCTGTCATGCTGCACTGTGAAGAGCCTGTCTTTGATAACCTCCTCACAGACACTGTCAGCCTGCTGTTAGGTTTCCCTGAAGACTCCAAAGATTTGGGTTTTTTCCCATACTGAACAAAAGCAGGACTCTTGGTGTCCTTACAGTGCAAATGCTACAGTTTCCTGACCATCCTCATGTACCTCTGTTTTATCTAAAGCCAAGGAAGACCTAAAAGCAGAAAGAGGAGAAGGCACCACATGGAGTCAAAAATGCCCAAGCTGCTGTCATGCTGGTGCCACAGAGATGACAGAAGGTGGGAGAAGCTGGAAAAGGGGTAAGAGAAGAGTAGGTGAAGGAAATGTGCACTCTGCATAGTAACATGTCTCATTACAGCTTTACAGTTCAAAGGAAGACTGGAGCATGTGTGGAAGCCTTTATTTTGCTCACTGGGGAGCTCTGAAGTCCAAAAGAGAAATAATGCCAGGGAAATGTAGTCCTGAAGAGCAAATCATCTAACTCACTCACTTGGATCATAGCACCAAACTTCCACCCCAGCTCAAAACAGGCTGTCTCAAAAACACTCTCAGTGCTTACTCTAGATTATCATGGCATGGCAAGTAGTAAAAGGAAATAAAAAGACCCAGTAGACATGTACACAAGCATTCCTTAACTAGCTTCCACATACAAAACAGAGAGTAAATTTTCACTCCTTTGGGATGGCCTGGGAAATGCACTCTGCTTCGTCATGCACCATTATTGTTGCCATCCTGCCCTTGGCCTAATACAGTCCCCAAAGCACACACGACACGTAGTCTTTTCTTCATCTGTCTCATTTGGCATGTGTTCAAAATCCTGCTACACTATTGGATGACCAAGGCTGCAGATGTTCATGTTACACAAGGGAAACTGTAACCAAAATATTAAAAACTTCATAAAAAACCTCATAAAGGTGCAATTAATTTCTAAACAAGGCAAAGATAGGCCAGAGACTTCCAGCATTACTACATCTGCACTTATAGGAATCCTTCTTGTTGTCTTTTCCATTCCTCACCAGGAACAACTCCAGGTGGCCTCTGGCTTTCTTAGCCATGCTCAGACAGTGTCTCTACAGAGGTAATGGAGTCTTCATCCAGGGAGATACTCAAAGTCCATCTGGATGTGGTCCCAGATAACTGCTTGAGGTGGCCCTTCTTGAGCAGGGGGGTTGGACAAGATGACTTCAAGAGGTTTCTGTCAACGGCAATCAATCTATGACTCTGTGGGTCCACTTCAGAACGCATTAGGAAAAAAATCATCCCCTAAGGACAGTGATGTAGGAGATGAAAACTTTCAGTTTTGATGTTCTGAATTAGTATGCATCTTGTAAAACTTTGTAGTGGTAAAACAACCTTTGCTCCAGGGAATATTCCGGTGAGCATTTCCAAACCTAATGGCTAAATATGGCATAAGCCATCATCAAAGTTACAGTGAAATTCTGCCTTTTCAAATTAAGGGCCATAAGTAAATAACATGGTACATTCTAATTGTGATCCCTGCAAGTCATTATTGTTAACATTTTTTAGGCTTAAATCATTTATATGAGTAAACTGCAGCTGCTGCTCACCAGACTTGTTAAATATGATATATTAGTCCAACTTGATATGCTGTGGCAAAAACATAACTCAGAAGTCAATGAAAAATCTCCTGCAATGTGCAGAGAAAAACATAAGAAAACTCTTAAATTCTGAGACAGCAATACAAAAATGGCATTTCAGTTTTAAAATTATTCTATAAAGCCCATTTAAGTGACTAATAAGGGCACTAGAATAAATTCTTTCCAGCTTGGTAAATCATATAATTATTTGTGCACACACTAAATGCTGACCATATTCTTTAAAAGCAATAATCACAAATTGCTTGGGGTTTCTATTTACTATTAACAGGCTTTAAATAAATGCCTATGAGATTTAGGAACAAAAGCTGTTTTTGAAACTTCCTTCCAAGGTTTTAATAAACTTAATGAGAAGGGGAAACTCGAAAAACCTCTAGAAATCGGAGTATTTTTCACTTGTAAATGCTGAAACACTGAAAACATACACAGTTCTGCTACTGCAAATACTTTTTAGTCATAACTAACTAGTCCTCTTTATTTCCAATGAACATAGTATTCACACTACATTTATTATTTACCTCTGTAGCCCACATCCCTCATGACAGACATTCAGCCTTCAAATTCACAATTTTCTGCTGTGTCGATGCCAATTCTCTTGCCCTTAACCTGCTGGCAGCTCTGTATCCCTTCTCACATAGGAGGTCAGGATGAAATGAGAGTTGTAACCCAACATCACTCCATAAAACAACCTAACTCCTTCACTGGACCACACAGAGCTTTTCCTTAGGGAATAAAACCCACTGATCCATGCAAATGTTCAGTGCAGACCACCTAAATTAATGAGGGAATGGCTAGTTCTCTCATTCTACATACTGCTGTAGAACATAAGAAATTAAAACATACATGCTATATTTGGGTTTAAAAAGAAAACAGTATTTTAGAATTACAGATTTTATTTTTTTAAAATCTATATTAACTAAGTTAGGTATGTGTAAACAAGCAGGGAAGAAACAAGCACTTAGGTTAACTGGCTCTTTTGTCCTCATGTTTTTAAGTGAGTCCAGTGCTAGCACACAGCCTTTTCATTTTTATGAGAAGCAACTGCCAGCAACTTTCCCCTTCCCTTAGACGCAAGTAATAGAAAATTTAGGGTGTAAGAAAAGGAATTCTATTTCAAAGGGATGGTTGGTGAGCAGTAAAGCAGAAATGCAGCCTTGATTCATTGATGTATTCACATTACCAACAAATACCTGTTTGATAAGGCCATTTCCTCACTCCAGGTCAGACGCAGTACAGAAAATTTCCCTTATGAGTCACTGATTTATATTAGTATCAATTATTTTACCTGTAATAAACACGCAATGTCTGGATATCTTCTTCTAATTTTTTGCACTGTTGAAGAGCAGCCTCTTTTTCTTGTTGCAAGCCTATCAACTCTGCCTGTAAAACAATAAACAAACAATACACAATTTATTCAGAATATCGTATTGCTTTGAAATCATAACAATCATTTTTTGTGTTTTTGTCAGCCACGCTTTACTATAATTACATAGATAAAGTTGCACTGTTTTGTAACACTGCTTATTTAATTCTTACTGAACATATTTTCTTGTTCTAACTCTGCAATTGTTCCAAGGTTTTTTCCCCAGCAGAAGGATGTTTTGAATGGCTTCCCTTATGTATTTTTTGAATGGCAAAGGTTAGAACTCTTCAGTTCAGCCAAGCGTTTATCAGCAAACATATTTCATATTGCTATCATGTCCTTATAGTGCAAAACTGTTGACTGACATACAGAGTGAGTACTCAGCCACAAACTACCAATGTGGTCTGTGCATGGTTCTCCAGCTGCTGAGCGTGGTTCCTGTGCTGGGAGCCACTGGGTGATGTTACCAGCAGGAGAGCTGCTGGCTAACCCACACCCTGAGCAGGCCGTGAGCCAGCTCTGAGATCCGGCTGTATCCTCACCCAGGATCTGGTTTATAGCGGAGTGAGGGAATCCCTGAGTGACTGCTGCCATCTTCCACCTGTGAGCCCTCCCGGATGTTTCCCCTCCTGCTGTTTATTCACACGCGAAGGGCTTGTGACTCACGGCCAGTATGGAAATTGCGGCATGTGGCTTGTAAGGTCAGGAAGGTAGCCAGCCCTGCAGCCTTACGGTAAACGAGGAGGTAGGAGAACTAAGCACTCATGGATGTTTAATATGGTTCTATAGCTTAATCACCATTAATTTTGAAATGTCCAGTTTCAATAGGACTCCCTTGAGGGCCCAGGTACCATATAAATTATCTAAAAATCAGCAGATGATTAATTGTTGTAACAACAAATAAGACCAGGCTTGCACAGCAATTCTTTGACACATGAGCCTGAGCACTGGGCTGCTTTCCAATGTTTTTAATTCATGGTGTAAGTTATTAATTGTACAAACTGTAGAGCTCCAAACCAAGAGGCACATGTGTGAGAAATGCTGACTGCAGTTTCTGCCAACTCTTCAGAACAGCTTTGCAGGAAAGTTTCGTGGTAAATTAAAGACCTGTTACACAAGCTACAAACACACGAAGGGAAATGCACAGAGTTTAGCCTCCAGCTCTGCCAAACTCACTGTACAGCCATGAACAACTCTGCCTGTATGCCTCAAAATCTCTCTCCTAAAACAGGGCTCCCACTTGCTTCTGTTTCCTGTTTGTCTGTTAAGACTGTAAGTCTTCAAGGCAGGTGTTTTACTGTTTACTGTCAACTCCCAGTCATCTATGGGCAATTTATTTTGCTGGTTAATTAATCGTGTCCTGGATACATGGCATTGACTCCTGGCAAATTTTGCTAAAGACTGCATTGCACAAATGCAGTTATACACCAGTCTCTGCACAGTGCTGCTCAGTGTGTCACGTTGCACCCAGGCTTTTGCATTGCCTGGGTACAGGACCCACCACTGTAATTGCTACTGTAACAGACATTCATAAATTTTTAACAGGAAGTTGCCTGGAGAATAAAAACGAACTTTCTTACTATAGAGAGGGTTCCTTTAGCTTTAAAAGCAGAAAGTGTTAATGTTTAACCTCTGAGTGACAGTGGTTTAGAGCTTCTGATACTGAAAACAATGTACTGGATGCTGGCAAGCCCTAACTCCTGTCAGCAAGAGGTTAAAATCCTCTGCAGGTGAGCCTCTTGCCCGGTGCTGCTTGCTGCCTTGCAAGCAGAACTCACAGAACACAAGGATGTTGGCCAAACCAAGCTATTTTCTGTAATTATACTGTTCTGTAGGTGAAACAGCATTCTTAAAATTTAGAAAACATGCTTGAATCAAAGTAGGTGGTTTATTCTAGAGGCCAATAATTAACATCCTTGCCAATTTTCAGTGTACTGTGAAGTGTGATTGAAATGGTAGACTGGAAGGAAATGTTTGCAGCTGACACACCTACTCACGGAGAGATTAACGGCTGGTCTCTTTAGAGAACTATCATAAAAAATACACCTAATGTTCCACTTGCTTTTCAGGACAAAAGTCAGAAGGTTTTAAGAGTCTGAAGACTCTTATTTATGTTAGTTTTTCAGCAGAGAAAACTGCACTGATTTGACTGGCTTTGCACCAGTAAAAATAACAGCAGAATTGGGTGCTTTGGATTTAAAAAAAAAAAGAAAAGAAAAAGCTACAACTGAAAGAAAGAAAAGCAGACATTTGCTAACCTCCTCAGTACCAAGGTTGAGTGGGGCTGATAATAGGGAGCTGTATGAGACCAACAAAATATTTAAGCATAAGTTTTTGTGCACAGTACGCAGCTGTGTGAGAAAATGACCAATCACTCTCAGGCCTGCAGAGTGGTAAATGTGAATAAATGACCTAAATATCCTACCAAAAGAGATCTCTCTCGCTTCACTAGAAGAAGGAAAGCAAAAGATTGCCCATCACAAAGTTAAACAGCTAATGAAAATAATGGTGCCTGCAGCACTATAAAACACTTGGAAGACTCCTACAATGTATATTGAAATCCATCCATAGTGCACATGGCAAAAATTCTACATGAGCTCACCTCTAGTAATAACAATAGCTGCTTGGGAACTTTTTAACAAAATATTATTCCTTTGGAAAATGTCATGCTGTGGAAATCAGAAATCTTCACAGAAATGGATTGGTTTTGATTACTCTTTTCTGGAAGTTAAGGTAAAGAAGGGAGCATTAGGAAGAAAAAGAATATCTCAGGTTGCTCTGGTGAAGGTCTTCCCTAAAAAGGTCAATTTAGAGGGATCAGTTTGGTACAAGGGTTACTCTCAGTGAAGTTCCTGTTTAACCCCGAAAGGTTATTTTTATCACTGGGTATGGTCTCTTTCTCACAATTTTGTTTTGCCCACAAGTTCCTATGCTTTCATATTTAGTTCAATGAGGATGGATTCTTCCCTATTCTCTGTCCCCCACCCCACTTTCATGTAAAAGGGAATTCCTATTTCTATACTTCTCCCATTTTTCCTTTTAGCAAACAGTTACTTGTTGAAAACTTAATTTTTTCAATTAGATCTAAAAACTAATTGCTACATATCTAACTTAAAATAGCCAGATCCTGACTAAAAAATTGCATTACTGATCCTTTTGGTGCTGTTTTTATTTTAAAATATTTAAATGAACAATGCTATGTGTTTTCTTAACCCAAGGGCTGAAAAAATACAAGACTTAAGCAAAGTAAAACAGGGGGTAAAACTAGTTTTTATATTTTCCTAATTACTCTAGGGCGAACAGGAACACCCTCAACTCTAATTTACATCAAAAGAGGTAAGAACATACAGCATCCTGTCAGGTTCCCTGTAGGTGAGAGATGGCTTTTGTAACGCTTTTTAACATACAACAGAAGGAAAAAAACACATTCAATGAACTTGAGAAATAAAGCTTCAAAGCTTTATCTCTTTACTGGTACTTTTTCTTGTGCATTTATAGAGAGCATAGGCATTTCCACCTATATATATTTATAGAGAACAACTATTTTTCTTTCCTTATGCAGGCTAAAAACCCATCCCTTTCTGTTACTTCTCACTAAGCAGGCTCTTCATTCTCCTGATCATTTCAAACCCATCTCTCATCAGCACTCTGCTAGCAGTATATCCTAACTCTAGCAGAGACATCTTACCTGATGCATTCTTGCACCCCTTTTGCTCATAGTTGCCCCCTGGTATGTGTCTGTTGTCCTGCCCACTGGCATTACCCAGCTAACAGTGGAAATTCTTGCTCATCCTGAAATAATGATACCTTACACTTGGCACCACTGAATCCCACCCTACTCTTTTTATTTTTCCAGTACCTGAAGCTTTTCCAATCTTTCTGCAAGACAGCTTAAGCTTACTTTGTATTAATATATCTCCATTTTGTATTAATAACATCTCCCAGCTCTGCGTCATTAAGCAGTTTTGTTGGTAGGCTGTTGTGTTTCATGCCAAAGGTTCTCAATGACAGCATTGAAGAAAACTGGTTTAGCACCAATTGGTGAGAAACCAAAAGAGAAAATCCACTGGTGAAATCCTTGGACCTTAACGTTTCTTCTTTCAAAGCTGTTTGCTGTTGCCTTTGCTGCTAACCAGTTCCTTATTGCTTTTGACTAATCCCTCATCTCCTTCATGGGTACATGACATTTTGCAGACAGACATGAACTCCATGTGCACATCCTTTCAAACAAGAGATGCTAGGTGAACCCAGTTAACAGCTAGTAGCATTTCCCACATTAAGCTTGTGCCTGCTTATAAAATAACAATATACACATTCTTCACTGTGATTAATAATTTTCCGCATGGCACCACATATAAGTCTCTGTGTCAGCTTATATTTTACACATTTCCTTGTTTAAATAACCAGTTATCATGCCAAAAAAGAATTCTTGCATGATCTTAATTGGGTAAAAGTTGCACTGCAATCCATTGTTGACAGACCTATGCTTTGAAGGCCATAAAGACTAACTGGTCCGCAATGGTCAGAATTACATTTTTTGCCTTTCTAAATATAGATGCTGCCTTTGATAATTCCCTGTCATATCACACCATACACAGACTCATTGGATTTATTAAAGAACTTTAATATCATTTCTGCAATCCTGGGCACCAGCACTTTCAGAATTGGGAAGGGAAACCACCCACTGAACTCAATAACCTACTGAACACTATGATATACTCCATTTCCGTACATGCACTTTTCTTAACCCCTGTCCTCTTGGTTGACATCATTATTGCCCAGTTATGAGGGAAACAAACAAACAAACAAACAAAGCACACACTTCCGAACCTAATCCAAATCATCTGTGATATCCACACCGTTCTCAGAGAGATGGCACATTTCCTCTTGTTCTCAATTCGTTACACTATTATTTGTTTTCATTTCCTTTCCAAGGGCTGATTTAGCTTAACCTCTGGCAATTTTCATTTGTCTCTACATGTCTTGTTTTCTAAGACATAACTTTATTGCTTAATAA